TCTACTAACATTTTCTTCAACTACTGATTAAGGAATGAATTTGATTGATGCCATATTTTTTATCTGTGCATTACTTAATTGTCAATAAATTATTAATACAAGTGGTTGACTTTTGTGTATTATTTAAATCATTTTTGCAGTGACAGGGAGAATGAATATTTCATAGATGGTATATGGCTGTTTGTCTTGTTTGAAAATACTTATCACTAGGTATTTTATTGCGTATCACAGTGACTTCATTTAACATCAGTGAAAAACAGAGATTTTTGTTCACATTCTGGAGACTTCGTTTTACAATGTCTTGCTAATCACATTGACTTTATAGTTGCCCTTCTAAGGCACACTATGTACTTAGAATGGAGTTCACGCCTAATAATAGTGGATGTAAATCAGTATTTCAGATAGTCTTACTGACAGTTTCATATCTTGGGAGCTGATGTTGCGTCAAATATTAGGTCAACATTGTTTTAACCTCATAATGTTACTGATAAAGAGCTCATATTTGGGATTCTGGAACTTTGCAATGCCCCCTATTTATTTCTGTTATTCTGTTTGTTTCTCTGTAAAGAATAAATGCAGAACTCTTACAAACAAAATAGACCCTGTGCTTGCCTTTGGGAAACAACAGTAGGGAAATTGAGGAGACTTAATCTGTCTGAAATCAGTGGTGTGAAGAGAAGAATCTTAGGTAATAGCATTGAGATGAGAACTTTGGCTCTTCTTTTGCAGGTCCTGCTAAAGGATTTATCAGTGTTATTAGTCTTTTTCAAAGAAGCAACTTTTGCCTTTGATGATTTTTCTCTGTTTATGGTTGTTTTCTAGTTCATTTATTTATGTTCTTATTGTTATTTACTTCCTCTTCCTTTCTTTAGATTTATTTCTCTGTTTTTCTAATTCCTTGAGATGGATATATAAATGATTTATTTTTTTTGTTTTCTTTGTAATTCTTTGAGATGGGTATAGAAATGACTGATCTCCAACCTTTTTTTTTTTAAAGATTTTATTGGGTAGTTGGGGGAGGGGAACAGACAAGTTGCTGTCCTTTTTTCTTCAGTCTAGCTGTGGAGGACGTCGCTTCACTGGCCCATGTTGGTATTGTGATCATTGTGCTCTTCCTGGGTGAGGCAGATAGGTCGCTGGCCCCTGGACAGCTGCTCACGGTGGCTCTTGGCAGCTCTTGCCAGCTGCCGGCTGCTCACATTGGCTGCTGGCCACTCACGGTAACTCATGGCAGCCCACTGCAGCTTCACTGCAGCCTATGCCATTGCCGGCGACTCACAGCAGCTCAGCTCCAGGTCGAGCTGTTGTTCACCATCTTAGTGGTAGAGAGGGTGCAGTGTCACTGGCCCTAATGTGGGATCCGAACCAGGGCCCTGCTGCTCAGAGCTGGCATCTCAAGCCAACTCTTAACCAATGCTCCACTCGGCTGGCCCTCCAACCTTCTTTTTAAGTATAGCCTTAATCACATTTTATTATTTTTTTATTCATCATCATGTCATCATTTCGTAAGTCAAAATTTTTTTCTAATAACCCTGTCATTTCTTTTCTGACCTGTGTTATTTGGATGTGTACTGCTTAATTTTTAAACATTTGAGCCTTCTCTGTTGATCATTTTTATATTCATTTCTAGGTTAATTGAAAACATTCTGAGCTGTATGTTAATTAATTGATGAAGGTTCTATGACAATTCAATGGGGAGAAGAAAGTCTTATAAACAAATGTTACTAGAACAAGTGGGGGGAAATTAATCTCTTAACCATACCTTACACCACACACACAAAAATAATTTGAGATAGATCACAGAACTAAATGTAAAGTTAAAACTTTAAAACTAGGAAACATACAGAAAAATTTTTTAGACTTTGAAGTAAGCAAAGATTTCTTAAAGGACACCCAAAGCAGAGTGTCCTTTTCATTACATAAAGAAAAATGATAAATTTGGGCTTATCAACACTAAAAACTTCTGTTCAACAAAAGACTGTTGAAAAGGCAAACCACAGACTGGGAGAAAATATATGTATTACATATATCTGACAAAGGACTGCTATCAGGATATATAAGGAACTTTTATAAATCCATAATTTAAAAATCCACAATTTAAAAAATGGACAAAAAATTTGAACAGACATTACACAAAAGATGACATCCAAAAAGCTATCATCATTAGTCACCAGGGAAATGCAAATAAAAACCTCATACTAGAATGGCTCAAACTAGAAGCCTGCCAACACCAAATGCTGACAAGCTGTGTAAATTGAACTGTTAGATATTACTGATGGGAGTATAAAATGATATATCCATTTTGGGAAAATGTTTGGCAGCTTTTTATAAAGTTAAACGTTCTTCAGCCCAATAATCTAGCAGTTCCACTCCTAAGTATTTACCCAAGAGAAATAAAAATATATGTTCACAAAAAGACTTTTACAAGAATATTTATAGTAGCTTTGTCATAATAATCTAAAATAGAAACAATAAAATCTTATATATATAAGATTATATATATCTCTTATATATAGGAGAATATATAATAAGTTGTGGTATTTTCATACAATGGACTATTTGTTGCTCAAGATAAAGAGGAGTCAACTGTTAATATACTCAACAGTGTAAATGAGTCTCAGAGACCTTATGCTGAGTGAATAAAGCCAGAAACAAAAGAACACATACTATATGATCCCATTTATATGAAGCTCAGAAACGGGCAAAGCTAGTCTATGATAATAGATATGAGAACAGTGGTTGTCTTTGGCATGTAGGGATTGACTGAAAGGGGCACAAGGGAACTTTCTAGAGTGATGGAAATGCTCTGTATTTTTATTTTGTTGGCAGTTACACAGTTGGATTTCTTTATCAAAACATATCAAATTGTGCACTTAAGAGCAGTGTATATTACTGTATGTAAATTTTACTTCAATTTTAAAAAAGATACTATTTATGCAATTTCCTGTGAGTCTATATTACTTCAAAATAATAAGTTCAAAAAAGTACATTATGATTTCCATTTCTTGAAATTTCTGGAGACTTACTTATAACCCATATGTGATTAATTTCTGTAAATGTTTCATGTGTACCTTCAAAGAATATGTAGTCACCATTGTTGGGTTCAGTATTCTGTATAGATTACGAGGGTTGAGTTTGTTAATTGTGTTGTTGAAAGCTTTTGTATTTTTAATGTTTTCTTTTGGGGGGGGGTCTTGTTCTGTGAGTTGCTGAAAGATATGTGTTAAAATATTTTACAATCTTTATAATTTTGAACATATTGATCATAGTTATTTTAAAGACAATATCCTATAACTCTAGTTGGGTACCTCTGGGCCTGTTTTTATTGTCTCTTTCTTGAATCTGTGCTCTGGTGTACCTAGTAATTGTTGATCAAATGCAGGACGTTTTGTATAAAGAATCATAGATACTGTAGGTGATGGTATCTTTCTGCAGAAGCTACTTTTGCTTCTGATAGGCAGTTGGAGTAAGGCAGACCTCCTTAACCTGATGAGGGACAGAACTGATTAAAGCTCAGTTCTGGTATGTTTTTAGACTTTTATCATAGGATGTAGCCCTTCAGGGTCCTAACTAAAAGCAGTGGATTTTTACTTGGGCTTTTCCCTTTTTTTTGGTGGGCTCTGAACTCTAATTTTCATTCCTCTAGCATCATGAAACAGTCAAAAGCTCCATTTAATTCCCCAGTCCCTTAGTGTTGTTTTTGGCTTGATTTACACTGTTTATCAATTAGCAAATGCTTGGAGAGGCAGAATGTCCAGCTCTCTTCTCTGCCCTTCCCTTCCCTTTGGGATCTCTTTAGTCTGCCAGAAGGCCTGCTCACTATGTGCCTCTAAGCAGCTGCTTTCTGCTGGGCTTCTCAGCAGTTCTGACCTATGCCTCTTAAAGATCAGGAGATATCTTGAGAAGAAAAGTAGTACCATGAGTTGCCTCAATTTTATTTCTTTTCTCCCTAAGATCTTGGCCTCTCATGTCCTGGTAGCCTTGGTAGCACTTCAATGTCTTGAAGCAGGTTTGAGGGTTTTTTGAAATATTTTTTTTATTTTTCAATTACAGTTGACATACAATATGGTATTAGTTTCAGGTTTACAACATAGTGATTAGACAGTCATATAATTTACAATAATTCTAGTACCCATCTGACACCATACACATTTATTATAATATTATTGACTATATTTCTTATGCTATACTTTACATCCCCATGATTATTTTTGGAACAGCCCATTTGTATGTCTTAAGCCCTTCCCCCTTTTCATCATATTCTTTGTTGAGCCCTACCCCCTCCCAGAATGCAGAGGCAGGCGGCCACCATATCTGAGTCTCTTTCAACTTGTCTACCCTGGTGATTCCCTGAGACTCTGCCTTACCCAATGTTTAGACCCACCGAATCCACTTTCAGTGGCTTTCCCATACAAACAGTCTTGCTTGACTCATGCTCTGAACTTTCCTAAAATCTCTCAAAGGTTGACAAAACCCCAAACAAGTAGCATCTGGCCTTGGCGTGCTACCCCTTGCTGAGAGCCCCAAGCCTGGTGTTCACAGCAGCCAGCCTCAGTTAATGGCTTGGTATTTGTATAAAAAGGTGCCTTCACTGTCTTTAGGGGAGGAAATAATCTAATGATGACTGCCTTCACTTCTGCTGGGTTGAATTTGTGTCTTCTAGCCCTTTGAGTTTTAGCTAAACTACCATGAAGAATAAGTGTGAAAATTCTGTATGTAAGAAGGATGGGAGCCTCAATATTCATGGATCTAATAATGTTAGTCCCTTCAAAAGTGGAAACAGTTTATAATAAATGCTTTTAAGACCCTACAATAAAATTAGGCTATGAAATGCAAATTTAATATTACTAAACCTAATTGGGGAACCTCAGCAAAAAATCTTTTGTACTGACTTCTGCCAAGGAATGGACAAGAGATTCATTTTGAAGGCATTCGTAGGATTAAAGATATAAAGCTCTTGATATTTTGTTTTTTCTCAACAGTTCACAAGTGCAGTGATTCTCAGGCTTTCTCAACAATGTACGCCATTTCCTGGCACACTTAACACTGAAGGTGAATTCTCCTTTTTATAAGAAGAAAATTTCGGTGGAGGTCTACCCAGCAAGGAAAGGACGTGTGGCTATTAAAATCGGTAAGTCATTTGTTTAGAGGATGGGGAGCAAGGTGGCTTATGGAGAAAATACTAAAAAGTATTTCATGTATTGTGAATAGGATAAAAATGGATAGTGTGCATTTCACTAAATATCAAGTTAAAAGACCCTTGTCACTGATAATCTTCTAATTCTAGATTTAATTAATCTTTGCTTGGTTTGTAAATTTGGAGACTTGGAAAAATATTGGGGACCACCTGTCTTCCCTCTAAAAACAATACCATTCTTTTGGCTGTAGATATCTACTACCTACATTTTGGAAGTTGGGGGAAAGGATGGAAATTAAAGACAAGATCAAAGGAAAGAAAATAACTACCTATATTCGTTGTTATGACAAGCATTGTATTAAGTATTTGAATACATTATTTTGTTTAATCCACACACCAAGCCTTGTAAGGCGGGTGTTATCCCTACAATGACATTTCTCCCTTCAGAGATTGGAGTCTCCTGGGAGTCATTAAAAAGAAGATAAAAACCACTCTGAATTTGGGAGATTTTATTGGATGGTAGGGATTTGAAGTTTTTAATTTTGGGTAATGTTTTACAATGCAGCTTCAGTAATTATAAAATGGTGAATTAGAAATAAATAATGGATTTTTAAAAATCCTTGTTGAGCATGTAATATAACTTAGATACTGTTCTAAATGTCTGTTCACATTATTGAAAGACACAGGTAAAGTCCCTGCCCCCATGGGGTTTATGTTCTAGCATGGAGGGGGACACATAATAAATAATGCACATAATAGATAAATAAGTAAATTACTAGGATATTAGAAGCCATTAAAAAAAAAAAAAAGAAAAAGTAGAGCTGAGTAAGGGAATTTGGGAGTGCTGGGTGGGGTGGGAGTACAAATTGCATTATTAAATGCAGTGGCCAGGGTTGGCCTCCCTGAGAAAGACAGGGAGTCATGGGTTAGTCCTGGGTGGGTCCCAGGCAGAGGAAGCAGCTGATACAAAGGCCCAAGGAAGGAACATGGTTTGTGTTGGAGAGCAAAGGAGAGTGGGGGGCAGGGGGGTGGGGGGGCAGACTGCATTGTAGGTACAGAGGCCAGTGTTCTGGAGCTCATTGCATGGGAAAGAAAGTAGTGGGAGCTGAGTTTGGAGAGGGAATATTGGCTCCGGCGGAAATAATAGCATTTCCTTGTTTTAGATACATAAGAAAAGTTACCTTGTTTTCTTCTCATGGCCTGGTTTATTCTGTGTTGCCTCTGCAATTAAAATGTGCATGCACATACACACTAAATAAATTACACCTGCACCACTGTATTAGTGTCCTATAGCTGCTGTGACAAAGGACCACAATCTGGGTGGCTTAAAATAACAGAAATTTATTGTCTCACAGTTCTACAGGCTAGAAGTTTAAAGTCAAGGAAGGGGCAAGTTCCCTCTGAGATATGTAGGGAGCAATCTTCCGTTGCCTCTTAACAGCGCCTGGTGATGGCAGCCATCGGTTTTTGGCATTCTTTGGTTTGCAGCTTTATCACGCCAATCTCTGTCTCTGTTGCCACATGGCATTTCCCTGTGTGTCCCTCTTATAAGGACACCAGACATATTGGATTAAGGGCCCACCCTCCTCCAGTATGACTTTATGGTCACCATTACATCTGCAACGATCCTATAAGTACTGGGGGTTAGGACTTCAGTATATCCTTTGGGGAGACACAGTTCAACCCATAACAGCCACCTTAAATAATAATAAGAATTACTATTTTCCTCTTGCAAGTGGAAACACAGGCTCAGGACACTTAAACACGTAACTTGCCCAAGGTCAGCGTCAGTAGCAGAAGGGCCAGGTCAGTGTGGTTTTACCATGCCCCTCATGCAACACTGTGGTGGTGATATAAGGATAGAAAGGATATAAGAATATGTGGATATAAAGATAGAGATGACAGGGAATTGCCAGGCTCAGGACAGGAATTGCATACATACAACATTACAGTCCCCGTCCATACTGTGTAACCTCCGCAGAACTCAAAATTGATGCTCTCTTTCAACAGTCCTATCAAAGGAAAAATAGATGCTCCTTCCATAACCCACTCCCCGTTTTGCATTTTATTCCATAGCACTACAAATAGGAAACAGATACTTTTTCCTTTTTTTAGGAATTTTTCCAGAAATAATACTGCAATGTCTGTGTCGTGTGAACATTTTGTGACAGAACCACATGTTTTTTTCTCACACAACACAGGGGGAAAAATGAGTGAGTTGGCATGTTGCAACAGGATTAGAGGATTTTCAAAGCATCGAATATGTTTTGCTTTTTCATTATATTTAATAATGCCTGCCCATTGGGAAACATGCGTAGCCATTTGTGAGCCTGAAATCAACACTAGAGCTTTGTTTTAGGCTTTCTCTTGAGGGATACACCTGCGAAAAGGAAGGACACACCAAAACATAACTGAACGCTTTTCCATGAGTCACAGTGAGGCATGACGTCCCCGAGCCAGGCTCCATGTGGATGAAGCCACTAGGTGCTGTAGTCCCCGAGGAGTGGCTCAGTCTCACTCACGGAAAGCAAATGCTTAAAGCTGAGCGTTAAGCCTGGGAGATGAGACAAAACCATGGCTGGAAAAATGTCAGAAGGTCAAAAGTGGAAAGATCAGATCTATATCAAGTAGTGTGTGAGACAAATTGAATGGTTCTAAAAATTGGGTGAGGGCTTCGGAGGCCTTTTTGTCCATGGCCCTGACTGCACAGTGTGGGGTTTAGAGGGGGAAGGTGTGGGGTAAGACTGGGCAGTCCCATACCAGCTCTTCCTAAATACAGTTGTTAGCCACTTTTTGTGTTGTTGTTATGTAGTCTTATGGTTTATTTCCATTTATTTATTTATTTATTTATTTATTTATTTATTTATTTATTTATTCATTCATTCATTCATTCATTCATTCTTTTTTTATTTTACTGGGGAACAGCCATGGTCATTGGTTACACATTGCTTTCATGCTACAATGGCATAGTTGACTCTTTTAAGGAGGGCGCAGCTCACAGTGGCCCATGCAGGGATCGAACCAACAGCGTTGGTGTTATCAACTCCATGCTCTAACCAACTGAGTTAACTGGTTACCCCTTGTAGTTTATTTTCAAGGTCTCTTTATCTCTGTTCTCAATGTTTTTATTTCCCCTTAAGTTCCTGGGCTCCTCTTTCCACTTAACAGCTGACCACTGTGGATCTGTGTGTTGAAGCATATGTTCTTCTTAGTATCAAAAGGAAGGAAAAAAACCTGCCTCTCTTCCAAAGATGCTTCTACTCTTTGTTAAGATCTGTTTTCTTTGATCCTGAACGTGTGTGGAAAGAGCAAGGTCTTTATATTTTTCTACTGAATTAAAATGACCCACAGTCATTATCTGATGTCACCACCACAGAAAGCTACTCCCTAGAACACGGCTAGATCCCACGGGGTGCCAGGGGGCACAGAGCCTGGTAAACACAGGTGCACCCCATCGACTTCTGATTATCTAGCTGGCATTTTGCAACTGCAGATAAGCAGTTGCTGCTGCTGCTGATTGTGAAGGACCAAGTAAGTCAGCGGTCACGGCTTTGAATTACTTCCCTGCTACAGACATTCTGGGAAAATACTAGGCTTTTCACAAGAAAGGCCAAAAGGCCTTTAGAACTTAGAGACCTATTGAACCCTCCATCGGCGCAACTGATCTCACAGATTGTTTGCACACAAAGGTGCTGCTATGAAATATGTCTTTACTACAAACACGACTAGAGATAGGTTATGGTAGAGGGGGATGATGCAGAAGCGATGAGTCACGATACTTAAGTTAACTGTTAGATATTTGAAAGTTTGTGTGCAATGATTCTGTGAGATCAGTTGTGCCCGACGGAGGGTTAATCTCTCTTACCACTATGGAATAGGAATAAAATCTTCCTTATTTCCCAGTAGTGGTAGATTGTTGAGCAATGAGAAGTAGTTAGTGAGGACTTTAGTTAGAAAACATTTCATTATAAAATATATATTTTTTATTCAGGAGAAATTCACATAACATGAAATGAATCATTTTAAGGTTGAACAATTTGGCGGCATTTAGTACATTAACAATGTTGTACAATCACCACCTGAATCTCATCCCCAAACATTTTCATCACCCCAAAATAAAACACCATACCCATTAAGCAGCTCCTCCCCTTTTTCCTGCCCCTCAAAACTGGCAACCACCAATCTGCTTCCTGTCTCTATGGATTTCCCTATTCTAGCTATTTCATATAAATGAAATCAAATACTGTGTGAGTCTCTGTGTTTGGTAAGACAGTTTATTTTTAATTACAAGTCATGTATGTTTTCAGTCCTCTCATCATTATATTCTGGGAGAGCTGGGGTGCTATGGGAGTGTTAACACAACTCTCTAATTAGAACCTCCAAAAACAAAACCTCTTCAGGGATACCTTTTTCACTTTCGTTGCTGGGGGCTTTCTCTCCATGAGACAAATAGCAGTTTAGAATTGAGTTACCGAATTTGTAAGGATGTGGAGAATTTGACTTTACCTTATTTCACTTCTGTCCTGAGGCTCAAGGCCCTCCAGCACCTTCTCTCCCCACCTCCAATTTATATCATTGTCTAGTGGTCTGAACACCAATTTATCCCATCATCCAAATGAACCTGTAATGGATATTTTGGCATCGGGGTAGCTAGAGATTATATTGCTAGCCTAAGCAACAAAGCATAGCCTTCTGCTTCCCCCCACGCCCCAGGTTGTTAAATGATACCAGCCGTTGAAGATGAAAATGTGAGAAATACTTTACACGCTCATCTCTGGGGGAGGCTCATCGTCCTCCCGCCTCCCTTCTCTCTCTGGTGAAATAAAGGCCGCCCGGGGAGGGTTCTGGGATACAGACAGCAGAGGCTTGAAATGAGATTCCTCTCTCCATCTGCCAGACGTAACCCAAGACGAGTTGCACAGATGAAGCTGGCAGAGAAATGGGGAACTGGATGACAAACAAGCTTCTGAGGGGACCAAAATTCTAGTTAAATA